GTCGCGCTGGTATGAGAACAGACTGTTCAAAAAGCTATAAAAGTGAACTGGTGAAGGCACCAAACGAAAAGGGTGGATGTGAATTCTAGAACTGTTTTGTGTCTCAGGAAGATGATGTAGACACAGTTGATATGTGAAATAGGTATAACTGTCAATCGTATACGAATGGGACGACGTGGACAGTGAGTGGAACAATAAAATTTTTTTTACGATTGTGCGATTGACTTTGGAGGAGTGCACCTGCCAAGCGTTGTTTGTGGTTGAAAACACACAAAAAAAGGCAGGGGTGGATGTAACTAGGGTAGGCCTAGCTACTGATGCAACTGATAACGAACGATAAGCCGCGACGCAGTATTACAGTCTGATGCAACTGATAGCAGGTGGCTTATTAAATCGGACTGATAACAATCTCAAAGCCAACGCGTGCTATTTTGGGAGACGGTACGAGGGGATTCAGACGGCCTGTCAACTTTGATTGATAGGATGCAGATGTTTTATTAATCGGGCTGTACGTTAGAACTGCGCAACTAGTAGTCGGAGACATCGAGTACAAATATCGATTACGGAGGAATACAAGTACGAATACGAGTACGAATACAAGGGATAAATAGGAGGGGACGGCTGAACTCGCCCCTTTCCTTTTTCGATCGCTCGCTCTCTTCATCGCTCGCTTTAGATCAGTCAGTCTGTGTGACATATCAAGTTGGAGATAGAACGGGTTAGCCGTATTGTGTTAAGAAGGACGATAGACATGTGGATTCAGTTATATGAAGCCTAGTGAGGACTGTTAGGGGTCAGTTGATTCAGACTATTATTGTGAAGCATTCCTGTTGATTCATTGTGTTATTTTGAAGCATTTCTTGATTCATGTAATAAAAGGATCAATAGCGAACCTGCATCTTCGAGTATTTCTACTGTAGTCGATGTTGTGTAGAATGAGTGGTTAAACTCGTTACATTTGGCACTACAGGCAAATAATCTCGTAACATGTGGCGTTGCGAGCAGGGTAACTGTTCGCTCGTTACATGAAGAAAGCTAATTTTTCTTCCATTAGTCATGGGACACAGTGACATAGTTATTTTTAGAACTCTATGGATTTGACACCATGTAAAGAAAAGTCAACAATTTTTTTATGTTTGTTGTTATTGGTATTTTTTAATAGCGAGGATGCTAGAACTGCAACAACGCTAGGATAAGGTATTATACAGCTTTAAAGTTCCCCTTTCGAACCAGACGGTTCGTGGTGCAAGCGAAGTAGAGTTCACCTGTTTCTGAAACATCGGTATATGAAAATAAAGTGTGGTCAACACTATGCCCACTATACTTTCCATAACGTGAGTTAGTACCTATCAGAGTTGGGTGGATTCAGGTACGTTCAACGACTTGAACACGGATTCGAACTCGAGACTTTCGGGTTAGCTGTCTACCGCTAGGCCACGGCGTGCCATATGATAACCTGAGTGTTAGAACGTCACAGAAACATAAAATTCTGCAGCGCTGTGACGTCAATGCTGTGACGTCGTTACAGAACCTGCTGACGTTTTTACTTGAGTTCAGGCACCGTGACGTCATTACCGGAGCCGAGGCGAGGTGACGTCATAACAAAACAACAGAACTGACGTACGGTGACGTCATCTCAGATAATGCACAGTGGCGTCATACTCTAACAGGTGTACACCACACGAGAAAAGATTTATTCTAGGTATATTTTATGTGTTTACGATGACGAAATGTTCTGTATTAGATACGAAAAAAAAATCGTAACCCAATTTGCAATCATGTCTAACCCGACCCCTCTACAAAGTACTCTTCCCCCCTCCCCACCTCAACCCCTTCTCCTCGACACCATCCACAGCTCCGGCACAATGCCATGGTGAGTGAGTACTGTCAATAGTTCAACCTACATAACGCTGGCTGTCACAAATATTCGGCCACCACCCCCCCCCCCCCATCTCTCTCCCCCCACCCAAGGTAGTGTTGACGAGTCAAATATTGACCATGTTTACGTGAAACAAAATGACTTGACCGCCATCCACACGTCATCACCAGAAGAAATTATTTGGCCTACTTGTTGGCTGGTTAGAGTGCTGGCTGGTACCACCCACCCCCCACCCCACCCCCACCCATCCTCCTTTCCTCCAAAATATTATCTCTCTTTTCTCATTATCATTCTCAATCCCCACCCCATTGTCCGTCCACCCCTACCCCCACTACTTTCTCCAATCAATTCTACCCCCCTACCCATATGTAATTGTTTACTTATTTCTACCCAACCCTCCCTATCTCATTTCTATCCCCCCACCTTTCGACATTCAGTTTACCCCCCCCCCCCTTGTAATTGTTTACTTATTTCTACCTTTCCCCTTCACTTCTCTCCACTCATTTCTACGCCCCCCCCCTTCCCATTTATTTTTCTCTATTTATTTTAATTTTAATTTACCTCTGTTGAATATAGCATTAAACGCCGCCACCCCCCCCCTTCCCCCCCCCCCCCCCCCGCCCCCGCTCCGTCTCCACTATTTCTATCTCCTATGTTTCTCTCAAGTTCACTACATCCGGTTTCAATGACTGCCCATTATCTATTGTGCCACTATACTAGAACACTAACTATAGATCCACACGAAGAAAGATTCAGTTATAAAAACAACAACAAAGCTACATCAACAGTGTCAAATTACATTATTAATTCGGACTATCTTCGACTAAAAGATTGAGTTATAAAACAAAAATCATATTACAGGATCTCTAAGAACTTCCATTAGGAAATTATTTTCTTTGTATCATGTTTTTAAAAACACTAAATATGGGCAACTTGTATTACACCGAAAAGTGTTTAGCCTAACACACAAAAGAAACACTAAAACATGCGTTAGAACTCAATCATTCATGGCAACAACACAACAATCAATGTAATACAATCACTATGAAGCAATCACTGACTGTAACACAATATTTCACTATGATACAGTCACAATAGCACAATCATTTTAACACAATTACTATAAAACAATATATCACTGTACAAAAACCCACTTGCATTTACCTATGCAAACAGAAAAAAACAAAGCACACACAACGAACTACACACTCTGACTATAACTCACTTTTGACACACTCTCCTCGTATTATTCATTCACACACAATATCTACCACTTCCCACCCCTTTCCCTCACGACCACTGACCCCCACCCCACCACCCCCAACACGCGAGGGGTGGCGGATCACCGTGCGACTTACTTGATAATACTTTCAGTCTTGTAGGGCTTGATCTAGACCGCATGGGAGGAGATCGATTTTAGCATTCCATTATTAGACGCCTTAGGAGTCTTATTAAACCACCGCAGTTAGCTCCCTTTGCGGGTTATTTTTTTTTTTCACAGCCGTCAATTAAACTTTTCATCGGAGTAGACTCCCCTGTAGTAATTATACAAGAATTAACTGAACACCCAGGGGAGTTAATTATGAAACACTGTCAGCCTTGTTTCATCAGAGGAGTATAAGAAAGGGAAATATAAATTCCTTGTATTTAAATTTTCGTGTTGGTTGTATTTACATGTAATTTACATGAAAAATATTATTGGAAGGGTACATATAGCTGACAAAAGACAGCTGGATATAATTCTGGACAGCAGAAACATTAGCATACGACAGCAGAGTGAAATACAGGACAACATATTTAACAGTAAGATAACATACTCAACTTATGCATATGACAGCTGGACAACAGAATCACGAATATTTAGAGCACCGTATTTTGCAATACGACAATGCAACACATTAAAATAAAACAATGTTTATTTAGTATTTGCGTTTAATATTAACATCAGGAAATTAAAGTTTACAAAAGTAAAAACAGGTAAAAAAATTGTTTATTTCAAGGTCATTACATCAGGAATGAAGGTCATATAAACGTAAATATATGTGTGTTTGTGTAAATAAAAGAATAACTAGACAATATCAAGTAGCCATATATCTGCAGAGGTTGAAAATATAAATACAATAAATAAATTTATGATGAACGTTTCGATTTGTTGGAACTGGTCTGTTCAAAGATTTGGGTGAACAAATTTGGTTGGATACCCGTTGTCACATGGTCAAAACCTGGTTGGTGGGTTGATCGGATGTTGTCTGATATGATCACTGGAATGGTTGTTATAGGGTTGTTACGTGGGTTGGCTGGATACACGTTGATTGGAATGGTTGTCATGTAGTGGGCTGGTTGTAGTTTTATATAATTGGAATGGTTGTTACAAAGTTGTGTCATGGTTGGCTGGATGTAGTTTGATAGGATAACTGGAATGGTTGTAACGATAGTATTTTAACATTACTAGCTTTACATGCAACAAGAAAATGTATTGATTGGGGATTTGTGTAGGGTAGTCGGTGGATAAGCGGTGGGTTTGGGGAAGGGGGTGTGAGGGGGTGGGGGATCATATATGCTAACAACAGATGACAGAGTTGAGATGACATACATCAAATGACAGATGCCAGATGACACAAATGAGGGGTCAAACGTCAGGTGACAAAAGGATGCACATCTGATGACAAACTTCATATTAAATATGACACGCTAGATGAAATATGACAAATGACAAATGACAATTGACAGATGACCATTGACAGATGACAATTGATAGATGACAACTGATTTATGACATGATAGATGATACGAAAAATGACATATTAAATTGACAGATGACAGATAACATATGACATACTTCAGATTAAATATGACATACGACATAAAACAGATGATAATTGACAATTAAAAATGACAGAAGACAGATGAAAGACATCAGATGAAAGACGTCAGATGACAGACGATAGACTTCAGATGAAGTATGACAGACGACAGACGTCAGATTACAGGAGTCAGATGACAAACGCCGGATGTCAAACGACGGATGACAGACGCCGGATGACAGACGTCAGATGACAGACGCCGGATGACAAACTCCAGACGACAGACGCCGGATGACAGACGTCGCATGACAGACGTGCTAGTAGCATATCTTGAGACTGTGGCAGCACTGCATCAACTTGTCCCTGAAGGACTTGCTCAGCACTGCGTACACCACGATGTTGCAGAAGTGGTTGACCAGGAACAGATCCCGCGCGATGCTCAGCGTCACGTGACTCGAGTCGGGCACCGGAAGTACGGAGAGGGTGTTGTAGAGGATGACGCCCCAGGACACGGACCAGCTGATGACGAAGATGATGGTGATGACGCCCAGAAGACGAGTGATGTTGTGCTCACGTTCGGCCGTGCGGCGGGTGATCTTCTCACAGTCTGGGGGGAGGGGGGGGGGGGGGAGAATACCAGGTCAGGCATTTATAATCAGGTTAGACGTTCATAGTCAGGTCAGGCATTAATAATAACACATTAATAGTAAGGTCAGACATTCAAAGTCAGGAAATTCATAATCAGGTTAGACATTTATAATGAGATAAGACATTCATAATCAAACAACACATACAAAATCGTGTCAGAAATTCAGATCAGACCTTGAACAATCTGGTAAGACAATCATAAACAGGTCAGACATACATAATCAGGTAAGAAACTCATATAAAACTTAGACATTCATTTGTTTAAAGTATATATTTTCTAATTTTAATTTAATGTTTTACTATTTAAGTTTTCCAGATGTCCACTCCCCCCCCCCCCCATCCTCACCCCCGCATCCCGAAGAAATGCCTGGAAGAAAGCATGACCCTGACCTTAATTATAACGGTAAATTTATTACCGACATTAAAAACAATCTCTGAGAGAGAGGATATTCACCTTATGATGATCACAGAGGGCCCACCAAAGCTGTCATCTTTAAGATAATTAAAATAATTACTGAAATATTTCTCTGGCCCCAATTAACCAATACTTAAGCATCTTTTGATCGTATTAATTATTGTGCTAATTAATTTTTATAAATTTGAACTTTACTGGTGAGGTAAAAAATATTTTTGCGCCTCCTACGCCAAATGACGTATTTTTTGTTTTTCTTAGAAAAAGTTTAAATGATTTATAAGATGGAATGTTCAGAGACTAACAATTCTGATGTTTTGACATTTGTGTAAAATATAACACACCATGACGCACAGTGACTCACTTTGACATATAGTGACACTTTGTGACAGACCTTAACAAAGTGACACTCAGTGACGCAACGTAACATACTGACAATTTTTGACGGACCGTAACAATTTGACACTTTGTGACGGACCGTAACATCGTGACACTTAGTGACACACCGTTACATAGTGACAATTTGTGACGGGTCGTAATATACTGACGCTTTGTGACATTTTGTGACGGGCCGTACATAGTGACACTTTGTGACGTAACTTAACATGGTTTCACCTAGTGACAACAACTCACCTGACCGGCTGTGCTCCGTGTAAGCGCTGCACTCCGTCAACCTGGACACGGACGACATGCCGGAGCACATACTTCCGGTTCTGAGACTGGCCGATGCCGGAGACAGCAGGTCCAGAGAGCAGCCACGTGACCGGTCAATGGAGGCGTCCTGGTCGTCAGACCGCGAGATGGAGCTGTGGGTCGTGTCTAGGGAACTGGCCCGCGGCTTGGGCGCGATGACCCGCTCCGGCACTGCGGAGTAGACCGGCTCTGATGACGCCCGGGGACCCTTGTCTAGAGAGGTGGGGTCAAGGGTGGCTGCTGTATAGAGAAAAAACAAGGTTTAACTAGATTTTAGATTGTCACATCAACAAAACGGACAAGAGCTGCATTACTTTTTCCTCGTTTATTCTTGATTACCGTATTCCTAATAGTAAGGGTTAGGACGGCACTTCCAATGAATTAGGATTGTAGAAATATTTCACCCGATACTCCATATTTGACAAAGTAAATAAGACAATCATTTCTACAATGTCTAGTAGAAATATTTCACCCTATGCTCCCTATTTGACAAAGTAAATTAGACAAGAATTTCTACAAGATCTAGTTGTTGTAGAAATACTTTTCACTATACTTCAGATTTGATAAAGTGAATTAGACAATCATTTCTACAAGATCTAGTTTTTATAGAAATAATTTTCACTATACTCCATATTTGATAAATAAGACAATCATTTCTACAAGATCTAGTTTTTATAGAAATAATTTTCACTATACTCTATATTTGATAAAGTAAATAAGACAATCATTTCTACAAGATCTAGTTTTTATAGAAATAATTTTCACTATACTCCATATTTGATAAAGTAAATAAGACAATCATTTCTACAATATCTAGTTTTTATAGAAATAATTTTCACTATACTCCTTATTTGATAAAGTAAATAAGACAATCATTTCTACAAGATCTAGTTTTTATAGAAATAATGTTCACTATAATCCTTATTTGATAAAGTAAAAATTAAAGTATTTCCACAAAATATAATGAGTTTGTTGTTTATACTATTAGAGAAGACATTAACCTTTCAGCGTTAAATCTTACTTACAGGTATTAAATCGCTTTATCTAAGACTAAATTGAAATCAATTTACGCGAAGTCCTTATTGAAATGTGATGTACCCGTATGACGTCGACTTGGCTGAAACGCAGAGAAGCAGTGGCGTAGTTAGGGTTAGGGTAGAAATGTTTTTTTTTGTGTTACTGTCTATTTTAGTTCTTCAAGAAGTTTCAAACTATTACCTACAATTTAAAACTATCTGCTGATTCTAATTGGTATAATTATAATGAAATCAATAGAGGTATACAGGCTAGCAGCAGCTGTTTGTGTGGCGTTAAAAGGTTTGTTGTTGTAGTGAACTTAATTTGACGCCATCAAAACCCCTCACCTCACCAGTCTACCACCTGAATGTTTAATTAATTAATTAATTTAATTAACCAACCATTTAGTTAGTGAGAAGTGATCTTTATTAAATATCGCTATAAATGTGTTTGAAATCATAAATTTATCCTGCAATCAGTTTAAACAAATGCTTAAAGACACACAAAAAAAAAAGAAAAAAAAAGCTTTCTTCAATTTTTCTATTGAACTTAATTAAAAACACAAATCCCATCTCAGAATTTCTTGTAGGCACTAAAATATTTATTTTAATTAAATCCGCCCTTGAATGAAGCTTATCATCTTGGCAATTCAATCAGATTAGCGCTTGTTTATCATTCGAACATGTCGTGTTGACAAAAGCTTCAGGTAGATTTGTAAGGGACTGCTTGCAGCCATACAAGGCTCTCGGCTCACAGCATGAAGGCTACTGCCATAGTGGCACTACTTGTCATGTCACTTGTGTGTGTTTCCGGTAAAGATACATTCACCTGCCCTAAGGTCAGTATTTATAATATGCACACAGTACAGATTATTGTATAAAATAATAATTCATTTTATTTAAATAATTTTTGCAAAGTACGTTCCTTGCAAGAATAATTAAAATCAGGAATTTATTTTTAAAATGTTTTGATTAGTTCGGGTCAGTAAAATATTATTCGATACTTTCATTTGTTGTGTGATGAGTTTACAGAACTTGTATAACATCAATGGTTACATCATATTACAGCTGTAATGTGTAGTGATTTTAATTGGTGTATTTATTCAGAACTGCAAATGTAGCAAAGTTCTAGTCGATTGCAAGCTCAAGAAGTACCATGCCAAAGATTTTGCATCCGTTCCGGAAACTGCCATATTGCACATCGAGGTAATCAAATTAATTAATTTCTCAATTAGCTCATAACGTTCAGGTAGCGAAACAATAGAATAGTGGTTTAACATTAACGTAAAAAGTCGAGAAAGGTAAAAAATTTGATCGCTTATCCTTGCTTGGATCCTCGCTAGCAAGCAAGATCCTTTGCTTTGAGTGCAATATTCATTCAAATCTTAGTACTACGTTTTACTCTAATTAGTTTAATTGAACAAAATATACTTTTTGTGTCGGAATTTTTTTGCAAGTTTCTGTCTTGGTTATATATATATATATATATATATATATATATATATATATATATATATATATATATATATATATATATATATATATATATATACATATATATATATATATATATATATATATATATATATATATATATATATATATATATATATATATATATATATATATATATTTATATATTTATATATTTATATATATATATATATATATATATATATATATATATATGTATATGTATATATATATATATATATATATATATATATACATATACATAGAAACCTTTATATTTCAGAGTAGCTCTCAAGTTTTATTCCCTGACGACAGCCTCCCCAGGGTTCGACAACTCGAGATAAACGCCCCTGGGTCAGAAATAGAGGGATACGCCTGGAACAAAGCCGCAGACCAACTTGAACTATTAGAACTGGAGGGTGTGCGTCTTAGGGATGCGCACACGTCTTTCAAATTGCTGAGGGCGTTGAGAAAAGTTAAAATTACCGCTGCTGCACTGAATGGTTTGAACCTTAAAAAATTTAAAATTCATTTTGACGAGAAAAACCCCTTGGCGAAGTTAGCAATTATTGGATCTGATTTGTCTAAGTTGACTTCCATAACAGTGCCAAATTATATTGAAAAATTGACACTCGACAGTTGCAATCTGACAGAAATCCCGACACAATTATCCAACTTAAGTAACCTGGAATATCTTAGCCTAAAATATAATCACATTAAAAAAATGATAAATTTACCAAAAAAATCAACTATCATAAATCTAAACTGGAACCGAATTTCCAGCATAAGAAACGTACCAAACGGTACGTTAAAGTTGAGTTTATCAAAAAACAACATCACGAGAATAAAAAACATACCAGCTTCCGTGATAATTTTGGACCTGTCCAAAAACAATATCACGAAGATTAGAAAAACAAGTTTTCAGCCTAACTCAGAGCTAATGAAGTTTATACTAACTTCAAACAAGCACCAAAACATGACAATATCGAAAAGGGCATTTAAAAACACACCAAAGCTTTTGCTCATTGATCTCCGCGGGACAGTCTTCGAGGCCCCCCCGGAGGCGTTCACTTCACTTCTGCACTTAACTGATCTAGTGGTGGACCCAAGGTACAGTGATCTATGTCACAGTGTTAACAAAAAGATTGGCGTAAATATTTGTACATTGGAAGAGTAGGATGGGAAATCTTTTTTTATCACTCGGAAAAGTAAAATTAGTAACAATCATGTTCATGTAAAATTAATTAAATTTCCTTCCAGAAATGACAACCGTCAGCACTAAATTTAACAAAAATTAATAATTGATTAAATTATTTTATTTTGGAATTCGTCACAAATATTTATCAAATTAAATTTCAAAATTTTTCAATAAATGTCATTTGTTATTATTAAAAACCAAGGATAACAAAGCTTTATAACTGATTTAAATCTATTAGGTTTATAGATATTTTATGGTGCGGGGTTTGACATTAAATGTAATGTCTAATTAATTATTATTTATTCATTATTTAATTAACGGTCAACACATGTTTATGCCTCAAAAAATAGTAAATTATTGAATTGATTGATTATTTTGAACTGTATTATTTTATTCGTAGCTTGTAGTAAAGTTTAAAAAATAAGTTTTATTTTTAAAATGTAAACAGGGTTAATTTGTTTTCATTATCGAAAATACTCGAACAGTTAAAATGTTAGAACCGACATGAAATACTATATACACCAAACGTTGTCTTATGCTTAGCCTTTAAAAACCACTACGTGTGTTCTTTTTCTATTATTTAGGAGTTAACATTCAGATTTTGAAATGGTAGTAAAGGCGAGAGCAATGCCTAGCCGAAACGGCTATTAATAAAAAGCTTATTTGTATATACAATACGTTTAGTTGTAGAAGTCATTGATTCTTCGTGCCGTCATGTTTTCTCCATATGTTTATGGATTTGTATAAATGCTGCTTATGATTAGGGACATGTTAAATGCAAAGATCGTGTTATAAACTTAAACTTTCCCGTAAATCTGAGTAAAGTTTATGCCAGTAAAGCCAACTCCATTTTTACTTTCTCGTATATACGAAGTATAGAGAAAGTCTTGTAATCTTGCAAAAAAAAAAAATAATAAATAAATCGAGATTTTTACAAATCTCGGCGTTTTACACCTCACTGATACGGAAAAACATAATTTTGCAATCTTGTCCGTATGTCTGTGTGTCTGTCTGTGTGTGTGTGTGTGTCTGTGTGTAAACAATATAACTTGAGTACCGTTACAGCTAGGTTGATGAAATTTCATATATCAGTATTTTATCAAAATCGTAGATCCTTATCAACTTTTGAGCGATTTCCGATAACCGGAAGTGGTACTTTTTCTACTTTGCATTTTTCAAAAGATTATACCTTGAGTACTATTTCAGATAGATAAATAAAATTTCACGTGTAAGTAAAAAATCTAATTCTCTATCTTCTGTCAAATCTTGAGTAATTTCCGTTGACCGGAAGTACTAATTTACGCTACTTCCGATTTCTCAAAAAACTAATGTAAATTTATAAAGTATAATAATATTGCGCACTATTATACACATCTTTATTCGGCGTTCGCTCGGTGCGCAATTCTTTTTTTAAGAGATTCTATTCTATTTTTAAAAGTTTAAGTATTTAAAATGGATTAAAATTCATAACTATATCCCCAGCTACCATCCCCTGTTGTTTTATATAAGAATATTCGAGAAAGTTTAGGGGAGATCACTCCCGGTTTATTATTTATTAAAATTAGAAAAAAAAAATCAGAGACCAACCTCGACTTCTCATTGGAGGAATATCAACCTCCGACCTGTTGTCCATCACCAGACTCTCACATCGGGTTATGATGACATTGATGTGACCGGTTGCCGGTCGCTCTCCGGCCCCTGGCCTTATCCCAGGCGAGGTGTCATTGATGCCGAAGAACTGCCGGAGACTTTTTGGAGAGAAGACGTTGCTGAGCTGCTGGCGGAGGGCCGAGAGATACACGAACCTGGAGTTCCGGGCCGACTTTTCCGGACAGTCAAGGTCGTTGAGAGAAAACCAAGACAGCGATGACCCCGATGACCGGGAGATGCTTTTTTGAGCGTTGAGGCGAGGCGAGGTCCGGAAAAGGTTGTCGTGGCTCCGCTCCTGGAAATACAAGTTCCCACTGTTTCTTTTTTCGTTGCGGTTGTTTCCGGGGAACAAGGGGAACTCGTAGAGCTCTTCGTATTCACCGGAAGTGTTCAGACACGGCTCGCTGGCGGAGGAGAGCCCGGCGGTTGCGATCAAGGCGTCGAATACAGAACGGACGAAGAATTCGCAAGTGTCGTTGTTCGTTTTTAGAGTTTCTTTTGGAGGTTTGGTTTGTTTGGGAGTGTCCGGAACAGGTTTGGGAGAGTCGGAGGTAGGAGTGGGGGTGGGTGTTGGCGTGTAGTTTGGGAGACATTGGAGAAGCGTGGTGTGGATGGCGCTGCTGGCGTTGGTGGGCGGGGTTAGGGATATGGCGGGTGGGTGGGGTTTGGGTTGACGAGGTAGTGGCTGAGAGGGTTTGGCATCGTTGAGTTTGGTGAACTTGTTGAAATGGCTGGCGAGTGGGATCAGTGTGTTCAGAGTCTCGCCTAAAAGATTTATGGAGCTTTCTACCGGTGCGGGTTTGTCTTCATAATGTAGCATATTATTTGAAATTTTGGAATTCTGACGTTCCTTGCAATTATGTTCGTGTGTAGTGTCTTGATTAACTAAAGTTAAAGCACACACACCTAATTTATCAGCTTCAGATTTTGGAGGGCACTGTGAGTTAGAATAAGCCCAATTAGAAAAATTATCATTTTGTTTACGTTCAAGTTCAGTAATCTGCAGATTTGTTTTGATTTCATTTTCTTTTGGTTTGCCTGCACTCTCTGGTTTATCTCTCGTCATAAGGCTACACACATGTTCACCAAGATGGCGGTCACCAATTCCAGTATTTGTACCTTGGGCTCCAAACGATGCATCCCCGTTTGCCTTACAGCAAACTTCCGTTTCCGATCCACTTTTAGACGGAATGTTTGACCCAGTTCTACGAAATTTGCCTGGCATGTTAGCTGTGGTATAATCTGCACTTAAAGCATCACCGCCGGTACTTCTCATCGACCGGTTACCGGATCCGGCCTGGGTACCCGGGATACCGTGGTTTAGGTCATTATCTAAGCTTTGAGCACCATCACGTGATGGAGGGCTATTTGGAAACCAGAACGCCTGAGAATCATCATCCGGGTATTTTCGAGTTGAAAGCAAAAGTGGAAATTTTCCAAAATTTGACGAACATGTGTTTGGTTCTAGAACCGACACATCGCTATGTCTTGGACTCAAACCACAACTTTTTAGAACTCGTAATTCCGGGACACCCTCCATTTTGATCTCGTTTGTTCTCGCCTCGTCTCCACGAGACGTGATCTGGTCTGAGAGTAATCGATGGGTTAGATTTGAGTCGTAAAATCGCCGGATCTGGGGACCTAAAGACGGCTTGCGGCGGGGCCGTTGGGTTGTTGTTAACGATGCGGTGATGGCGTGGTGGTCATGTGACCGCTGGCATGTCTGAGTGGTGCCGGAACGCAAATCTTGATTAATGGCACCCTGATGCGCGGGTCCCTCGTCTAGGTCACTGGAACAAGGGATAGAATCATTGAAATCTTTTTGGTCAAAGTTTACTGAAGGCGATTGGACTAGCGAGCTAGCAGGGAGGAAAAGAAAAAGTCGCTCGCACTGTAGTGTTGAAGGACTACAACAGGAGTCTGGGTTCGATTCCTGGTCAGAAGAATGCAAATAATGATGCATGGAAGACATAACTGTTAATAAATAATATATTAAAGAACTTGTAGCACCCGATTCAAAATGAAAAATATTAAGTAAGTTTTGATTATTTTTCAACCGGAAGTTTGATGACGTGTTAAGAGCGTCACGTGTGCTGTACAGAACACACGGGCATGCGCAGAAATACCGTTTTTCTGGAGTCAAATAATTCCGAATGAGACTCCTCAATCCAAGGTTGATCTTCGTGGTAAAAACGTTGTCTTTCAACCCCAGGGCATACAAATTCAAAACGAGACAGACGTCACATTTAGAAAGATCTAGAAAACTCTTCCAGGCCGGACTCGTTAGAAGTTCCGCGTGAGCAAACAGCCCATCACGTGGTGTTTGCCCCGCCCCGTCTAAGCTCCTTAAGCTCTGCTTGTACCCGGATGAGCTGCGAGAAATCCCGAGCTCTTTGATTTCGTTGATATCAAATATCGTCAGATCGTCGTCCGGCCTTGACCTGATGATGTCCGAATTTCGAAGGTCAAAGTTTGCGATGACGTCATTTTGCATATGTAAACAAAAAGGCGCGATTGAGTTCTCGTTGTCGATATCCGGAAATAAATTTCCGCGGCGAGATTTTGATGTAGGGCGATATGTTTGTGGCTGGTGGAACGTTGGGAGGGGGATACTCGTGGACGGGTAACACGTGATACATTTTGGCGACCAATTGGAAGAGAGGAAGGGTGAATGGTCTAATACGTCAAAATGTGAAAGTGGGATGACAGCATTAGGGATAAATGGGGATAACCCAATACCTCTATGCCAGGCATAAGGTGCCCTTGGCACTGTTGATGCCACTACACTACCGACCTGACCTAGTTCTTCGCTGAAGCGTGGAGCAAACTCGATGCGCGCGCATGAAATTATATCCCACGTGTTTGTGGTGGTGGTGGTGGTGCTGGTGGTGGGGTGACGATTGATTGGTGACACGTCATGCGCATGCGTCGGGTTTCTGCTCACACTCCTCCAGCAGACGTCGAGCCGCGCGCTCGTTACGTCACTGTTCTGATGTGTCCCCTGCACGCAGCAGGCCTGATGGGAAGTGTTCGACGTGGGTGACCCTTGGTTTGACCTTTCTCGTGACCCCTGATTCAACCTTTCTCGTGACCCCTGATTCAACCTATCGCGTGACCCCCGAGAATCAAAGCTGGAATTTGAAGGAGAATTATGCTTATCGCTGCTAATGGCATTTGCTGATGGGTTGTAGAAAACAACCGGTGAGTTAACGATACTTCTGCTATCCTGGTACACAGATCTATCGGTAGATTTAAGATTAGAAGAGTCATTCTGGATATGACGACACTTGCATGAAGGGAGTAACGTTATGACGTCAGGCTGTAATTTGTACGCCGTGACGTCAGATGGAAGCCTAGTAACGTCGAAATTACATGGAATTTTTACGTCATAACACCCGCTTCCGGCCGTGACGTCAGATTGTTTTGGCGTTGAACAATATACATAAGTATCACAGTTTGTAGGACGTGAATGTCTTGCGAGATTCTCGTGACGAGAACTCGCACACCCCGTAGAAACATCATGCAATAAAACATCTGTTAGCGAACAATTTAACGTATTGCAATCTCCACGCGGGTCGGCGTTTTCTTTATTAAATCTCAGCTCCTTACCAGCGCCCCCGGCCGCGTCTGATTGGTCCATTCCAAGTGTTGAAAGATGGCGGCCATCCGTCTTGTCACAGTAAACCTCATTAGTCCCGCCCTCGAGATCGTTCAGCGATGTCCGTCGTAAATCGGGTGTGATAAACGAGGCGTTCAACCCCGAAATGTGAAGGGTTTCACAGTTTCGAGTTGTCCGGTCACAGTCCCGGGTCCCTAGAGGGGACCTTGGGGTCTCGACCCCCACGCTCTGAGATCGATGATTTTCTGGGTTTTTCCGTTGTTTCGATTCGGGAATTTCCGA